TGCAGAGAGATCTCAGGTGAATAAATTATCACCATTTTACAGAGGGAGATTCAATGACTTACCCAGACCACCTACCGAGCCAGTGACCATCCAAGTAGAACCCAAGTCTCAGTTCTGTGCTTTAACCACTAGATGAGGCTGGGAAGTTCCTGCACGTGTCAAACCAGGAAATGGACAGCATGGAGGAGGAGACTGTCCTTGGATTCCCTCCACTTCCAAACAAATCACTGCAGCCCTCGAGACAAAAGTAGCTTTTGCATGATTATAATTAGCAACACATTGTCCTACTTCTTTGGTATTTTACAACAGAGCAAACAGCTTATTTCCCTTCTCCTCCCTAGCCGCCCAGCCGCTCCACAAATGGGTTTGTTGGATGCATACACTGAAACCCCAAACTGCCTCTTTTTCTTTTTTGGTGGAGGAGTTAGAAATTTTGGTTGCACTCCCCCTGAAGTGACCAGCAAGACTCCCATAGGATTAGGACTACATCCGTTGGGCAAATTGTGTTGCCCTGCTCCCGTCATGGGCATGAAATGGGCAGCGGAACGAGGGTGGTTCTTTGGCATGGGCAGGGGTGGAGGGGTAGTAGGATATGGGGAGCCGTTGTTAGGTATACATCACCAGTAGGAAGGGTGGTTGCGGGGCGGGGCAGGACAGGGTGGATTTTCAGCTATGAGGACTTGTCTCACTTACACTGGTGATAAGCTCATCTAGGAGATCTCAGTGTGAGATCTACTAGTGCAAGGGGGAAGCTGTAGGGAATACTCTGTAGTGTCCATTGTACTAAGGTATGGGTACTACAGCCCAGTCACATGATGAATTCAGAATCCCAGGGTTCATTTGAAAAAGAAAGTTTCCCTCATGGAAACAAAGAGAAGCTTGAAAACCTCACCTGACTATAACTGGTGCCTCCTGGAGTTTGCAGTCAGCCAAGAGATAGGAACTACCCCATTTAATTTTAACTCTGAAACCTGTTGTGTCCCCCCCCCCCCCCCCCGGAGAGCTAGGGCCATGTCAGAGCTGGGGGTTGGTCCTGGCAGCCGGTGGGGATGTCCCCTTTGGGGGGGGTATCCCCATGGCTCTGGATTGCTTTAATTTGGTCTTGTTCACAGAGTGTCCTGAAGGGCCTGGGAATTCTTTGCCCATCCCAGTGCCCATCCCATGTACGCAGGTTGTGTGAAGAGGTGAAGGTTTGCCCTTGGTAGTGTTGATCTTTCTAAATAAAGCTTCTGGATGTATGTTTTGAGCTAAGTTTGACTTTAGGGTGAAAGAAACTGTACAGTTGGTTCATAATTGGCTGGGCTTGTTTCTGGGTACAGGAGCGATTAGTTACATGAGTGTAGAAAAATGTTTTTCCTGTTTGGTTTAACAAGCATAGAGCTTGCATTTCACATGGAAACTTGACAGAGGACAACAAATGTTCCTAATTGTTGGCCAGGAAAAACATAGTAAGATGGCTTCAGCCATTAGTCTAATGTCATATTGCCCGGCTCAGGGGAAGCTGCCGTCTGTTTCAGCAATCTGAAAGTATTTGGTGGAGAAAAATGCATCTCTCCAAGAATCAGCCGTCATAACTCTTCAAAATATGAAAATGGCATGTACCTTTCACAGTGCTAAAGCTCCCATGGAAACATGTACATCTCTTAACTGCCAGCTTGTGTTAGCTTCTAGAAGAATTACAGTACAGTAAAAAAAAAAAAAAAATTTACTTGTTAAGGGCCTGTAGCAAGGTCGAGACTCACCGGCACGGCGCCTCCTGCTGGTCATCTGGGAATTAGCTCTTTTCCAGCCTCAGAGCGCCCTCTACTGGCCTGCCTCAAGCCCCCATGTCCCCCTCAGACCCCAGTGCCCTTTACCTTGGGGTTCTGCCCCAGCAGTACCCCCACACTCTGGGTCTCCCCTCCCAGGGGAACCCCCATCCCCTAAGCCCACTTTGCCTCAGTGTCTACTGCCAATTGTCAGCTAGCCCCCTCTCACTGGGGCAAACTGCAGTCCATAATAGCCACTCATCATCAGCAAAGGGGGTTGGACCAGCTTCCTCTGCCCATCCCCACGTTTACACCTCTTTAGCCCCAGTAGCTGCCTTGGGCCTTTAACAAGACCTGCAGCCTGGGGAGTTTCCAGGCTGGAGCACCTCTTGCCTTTCCCCAGCCCTGCTCCGCTTCAGGTACCCTTTTCTCCCAGGCAGCTAGATCCTTCTCCCTCCAAGGCTGGAGAGAGACTGTCAGCTCCTGGCTCACAGCCCCTTTATAGGGCCAGCTGTGGACTGATTGGGCGTGGCCCCAGCTGTGGCTGCTTCCCCAATCAGCCTAGCCTTGTCCACCAGAGCGGGGTAACTGCCCCGCTACAGGGCCCAATTCCAGCAACTTTTACTCCTGACCCATGTGGGGCCAGAATGGAGGCAGCCTCTGTTTTAAACTAATTGTTCTCATTCTATCACTGGGTCATATATGAACTATTAGGCCATGTAGTGATTCGGTGTGGCTCCCCTCCTGCCCAGAGGAGGGAGCACCAGTGCAGACACCTGAGTGGGCGGAGCCACCACCACCTGTCCCCGCCCCCCGGAAGTCAAGGGGCGGGACAGGAAGTATAAAGGCTGGCCGCCAGAGCTCAGTCAGAGCCCGGCCACCGCAGGGAGCAGATGTGCGGCCGGGAGCTCCCGACCAGGATACCGCTGAGGCCCGAGGATATTCGCCTAGCTGGCCGGAGCTGCCCCGGGCTCACTACGACGAAGAGCCGCCGGAGGCCGTCCGTTCCCGCCATTGGGGGGAGCCCTTGGAACTCCCCCACAGCAACCCCGACGGTGAGACCGCCCCAGAACCCCTTCGGCCCTGCTGTTACCCGGAGGAACCGCCCGAGTGCAACTGGCCGGACTTCCCGACGGAGCTGCCGGACCTGCCACCAAGCCCCGGCCGGGAGGAGCCTATGCTAATGGACTGGACCCTGCCCGGTGCCGCGGACGAGGTAGGCCCTGAGGGGGAAATTGGAAGTAGCCCGGGGGTAGCCGACCCCGGTCAGGCTGCTGAGGCATGCGAACCCATGTCAGTGTGTTTCGGTCAGGATACCCCACTGACCGGCAGCGGCAGTAACCGCTGTTAGGGCCCCGGGCTGGAACGCAGTGGAGTGGGTGGGCCTGCGTTCCCCCCTGCCACCCCACACACGGGTGGCAGGCTTCCCCCTCACCCAACGCTCTGGTCTCGCCGCCAGGGCTTACCCCGAGTGAGTGTTGCTCAGCCCCTGTGCAAGGGGGCCTGAGCTCCCTAGCTGTGTAGCTGCTCCGCCCCTGCTTCCAAGGGCCTGAGCAGTGTCGGTGTGGGCCCCGCCCTGAGCCAGGGCCTGGGCCTTCCCTAGTTGAACTGCTATTGCCCCAGCCCCCCTGCACCAGAGGGCCTGGGCC